GCCTCCCAAGTAGCTGGGACCACAGGCGCCCGCCACAACGCTCGTCTATTTTTTGGTTGCTGCCGTCATTGTTGTTTGGCGGGTCCAGGCTGGGGATTCGAACCTGCCACCTTAGGTGTAAGTGGCTGGCGCCTTAGCCGGCTGAGCTATAGGCGCCGAGCCGGGACTTATTGTTAAATGATAAAACAACTCATAGAACCACACTCACTAATGACTCAGGCAGAGACTACATGATGAATACAGTATAGTAACAACTGGAAAAGGTAGACAACACTCTTGAATAGACTGGACATTAAAGCAGAAATACGGAAACTATAAAAAGGAGTCAAATGTAAATACTGGAAATCAAACAAACAATATCAGAGATAAATAATTCCTGTGATGGGCTTATCAGTAGACTAGACACAGGTAAGGAAAGAATCAGTAAATCTGAAGACAGGTCAGTAGAGATTACCCAAAATGAAACATAGAGGAAAAAAAGAGAACCGAGCATCTACTACCTGTGAGACAATATCAAGGGGTCAAAGATTTGTGTAACTGGAGCTCTAAAAGGAGAAGAAAGAAAAGAAATAGATGAAATATTTGAAGAGATAATGGCTAAGAATGTCCCAAAATCTATAAAAGGCAACAAAACCACAGATCTAAGAACCTCAGAAAACTTAAGCAAAAACATTTAAAACCCAAAGAAAACAAACCTACACATATCACAGTCAAATGTTGAAAATCAAAACGAAGACAAAATCTTGAAGGCAGGCAGCGAATGGGAGAAGATTACAAATAGGGGAGCAAAGATAGAGCAAACATCTCCAGAAACCATGTAAGCCACAAGAATATGGAGCAATATCTTTGAATTACTAAAAGAAAAAAAAAGTGTCAGCAACAAAATTCGATGTCCATCAAAAACATTTTTTGAAATGAAGGTGAAATAAGGCTTTCTTAACAAAAGCTCAGGGAAGGGATTGACAGCAAACCCGTACTACAGAAATGCTAATGGAATTTCTTTAGGCCAAAGAAATATATAGATGGCAAATGAGAACATGAAAAGATGGCTCAGTGCCTGTAGCTCCAGCGGCTAAGG